ACTTTTAAGCAAGATATAGAAGCTTGTTTTGAGTCAATAATTCCTAAATAGTAAAAAAAAAGTATTGTTTTACTTATAACATGTGGAAAATGTCTTGTTTTCAGCAAAATAATTTCCAGTGGAAGTAGACTTTTATCAAAATTATTACTTTAAAACTCGTAATTATGACTTTGCAAGTCATAATTATTACTTTAAAACTCAATTATGACTAAATCTCATAATTATGATTCAAAAACTCAAAGTTACGACTTTAAATTCAAGTCATAATTTATGACTTTAAAACTCAAAATTATGAATGCAAAACCTGTAATTGGACTGTTGTTTATCTTTCATGGCAGAGATGGGCTTCCATAGACCAGACCACCCTGTGCCTCATGTTTACCATGTCCACTGCATTTCTTGTGACAAAAGGAACTTTTTATTGCTTTGCTTGAGCATTTAAACTCTTTCTGCTCCATTTGCACATATATGATGTGACTGCTGAAGGCCATTGCTTCCACTCAGTGGTAATTAACAGTAGGAAACTGAAAATTGAAAAACTCTGCCTAACTTTTCTTCTCCTTCACAGTCATGTGCTGCTTTGTGTCGGCCTGTCATTTGAAATCCTGATAAAAGACGCCACAGTTTGAGGTTTTAAAATGACAAAATGGAGTATAAAAGTTTTTGCAAGGCAGAGTAAAAACAAAAAACAAAGTGTGGTAAATACCACAAATGTTTTTGTAGCGTTACTTCAGCTGCTACTTAAAGATGAGAGCTCAAAGCTGTGAAAGTTTCACCTCTTTTCAGGGAAATTTCATCAGATTTCTGATAGACTAAGGTAAGCAGTAAAACAGTTTGAGCTGAAAATCTCACATAAACTACATGCGAATAAATCATACACTAAAAACACACTAATCTACATCCCATTCAGCATCAGATGTGATTTAATTGAAAGGAAATACCGCCCCCTGCTGGACCAAACATTAGACTCTGGATTCTGGACCAAAGAAGCTAAACTGCATTACTGGTTTCAGATATATTTTTTAAGTTTTTAAGTTTCTGCATGAATGCAAAGCATCATTTAACAGGTTAAACTGGCAGTTATCAGATCAATGCTGCTGAAAATGAATTTCTTTTATGGTAAACAGAAACACAAAGTCACTTTTAGTGTTTTTTTCTACTGAACACAACTTAAACCAGTGTGGATGACATTTGACCTACCAGTTTGGCAGACTTGGACGACTCCAGGATCTCTGCAGAGATAAAACAAAGAAACAAAGACACATACTCAACTATCGTTATCATGCAACTCTGCTTCACAAGTTGTAAAGTTTAGAGACATCCTGTCATAAAGGCTATAAAGTCAATACAAAATGTTATCTTTTAAACAGATTGTGACCACATTACACTGCACTGTCATCTCCAGATATAACACTTCTATTAAACTTCCCGTATACTGAGGTTTTCCCTTTTTTAAGCTTTAGCAATGGATCTGTTAAGAAACACTTTTGAAACATTGTTTTTAAAAACATTGTTTTTAAAAACATTGCAGAAAGCTGTTTTCATACTTCTATTTATTAAGATTAGTTTTATAAAATATTTATTAGAAAGCCATAATTTGTTTCTTCTGATCATTTTGAAAATATGAAACACTCAAGAAGGACAAGTACTGTGTGATGTGCTGTTTTTTCTTCATACCTAACCCACGGTGGCCTGCAGGTGTAAACGAAACAAAAAAGCACAAACGCACAAAAAAGATCAAATGCAACAGAAAAATGCTGCAAACAAAAGATGATGCAATCACAGAAAAAATGTTGCATCAAAAGGAAATGAAAGTAAAAGGCAAAATGGCGCTTACAGTAAAAACAACAGCAACAATGCTGCAAACTCAACCCACAAAAAGCTCCAGACCACTAGGGGGAGTCGGCCACCAAAATAAGTGACCAGACCCTCTGTGAAGACGGGATGTCATTAGAGGATGAAAAGGTGCATTATTGTTCACGTCTGTTTCCAATGTGCATTCTTTTACAATATTACAGAACAGCAGCTTACTGACGTAAGTAATATTACCTACTCCAGACTACCCCTAGTGGCCCGGAGGACACCTGTGTGCCGGCATGAGTTTGCAGCGTTTTATGCTTGTTGCTGTTTTTGCTATTTTGCTTAATGTTTTTGTTTTTTAGCTTTAATTGTTTTGACTTTGTGAAGCACTTTGTAGTCTATGTGTGTGGGAAAGATGAAACAACAATAACATTTTAGTTATGTTTATAATTAGTAATTTTTTTCTCTTTTGCTTCCATTTCCTGTTGTTGCAGAATTTTGCCTGCAGTTGCAGCATCTTTCTTTTGATTTTTTTTTCTGTTGATTGTTGGGCGTGGGGTTTTCTATTTTCTGTTATTGAAGCATTTTTCCTTTGCATGTTTTTTAGTTTGCATGTTTTTTTCTTTTCGAGTGGTTTTAGAGTTTCAAGCAGTGTCAAATTTAAGGGCATATTTGCCATTTGCATCCATCGGCCACCTTACCAACCAGGCTCTGGAAACACTGAAAACAAATTCTGCGTACGTGTTCGACGTGGAGCGCTCACCTCGTTTGGGGACCCTGCCAGTGGTTGGCTCGGGGGTATCCGGAGAGGTGTCGGCGCCGTCATCAACCAGCTGGATCTGAAACAGAGAGACAGAGAGCAGGAAGCAGTCAGTCATGTCTGTAAAAAAAACACGTCACAGACTTCCACCATCAGCCTGCTTTACAACGAGGCGGACGGATCCAACACCCTCATCAACCTCATGTTTCACCGATACAAAACAACAGAAGACTTTTTATAATTAATGAAAGGGCTTTAAAATATTTAGCTCAATTGTTAACTACAGGATGGGCTCTGAAAACACGTTGGAAATTGGCAGTCATAAAGAGATAAAGACAAACCAAACACATCTGCATTTTTTAATCGGAGCCTTGCATTATTGTGTGATGACAGGAAGACACATGTAAAACACGCTGAGCCACGCATACCGATAAACTTGTGTTCAAGGCGAAGAAGAAGACCTGAATGTGTCAAACAGCCGAGCTGCCTGGACCGTGGAGTTACATTTAAACCACTTTGTATTGTTCGTTTACATTTCAGGCATTGAAGTTTCAGCTGCTTTAGCTTCGAAAGAAAGCAGAAGATACAGATGTTGGCGATGGAGATGTGATCAACCTCAATAAATTGAATGTTGAAAATTTCGATGAACTCCGATCCAGAACAGCACGGCATTTTGGGAGATGTAGGCAGAGGAAAGGCTTTAGCCGCTCAACGTCTCACAGCCAGCTAAACAAGGTTGGCAGCAGCAGTTTCAGATTTCGCCAGCTTTCCTCAAAAATAAAAAGCAACGGCACTGAGTGAAAACTGTGGAAAAAGGAGGAGCAGTCATGCCACCAGTCTGGCTGTATTTCAGATATTTAAAACAAATTACTAATCAATAATTATTGATACAGACAAGTTTTAAAATGGAAAAAAGAGACTAACATTCACATTCTGGAGTGGCTTTAGCTTTAAACCTATTAAAAATATCAGCGGTGCTTAAACATGGGGTCAAAATGCAAAAAAACGGCTTATTTAAATATTATTTAGCAATTTTGACAAGTAGAGTGGTTGAATATAGAGCAAGGGTTATGACAGGACTTTATTAATGTGTGTGTTTTTTCTGCTACATTGCAGAAAATACCTCTACTGAAATACCCCACGTATCAGTGGAGGTGTATGTATATATTTGAGCCTTTTACATAAACTTTAGATATAAAATATGTCATAAAAACAAACCTGCAGCAATGGAGAACAGGGTCTTACTGCAGAGGGAAATGTTCCCACCCACAGTAAGAGCCTGAAACTAAACCTAAACCATCCAAACATAGGAGCTGTAGGTGGGAAGGAACAGCCCTGCTCCGGGTCACCGGTGAATTTCTGCGGCACATCTTCCATATATTTTCAACTCCACACAAAAATGCTTCGAAGAGCGGTTTTGTTTTTCTGGATTACCTGTGACTGCCTGACGAAAATGCCGTAGTTCTCCTGGCAGGTGAAGTAGCGCTTGCCCTGCACCGTGCCGTCGTTCTTGCCCTTGGGTTCGTCCAGGATGACGCCCACCCACTTCCCGGAGGCGAACAGTGTGTTCCCGATGTAGGCCACCGTGCCGCGCTGCCCCTTGCCAATCACCTCCACCAGGGAGCCCACCTTGACGGGCCGCCCGCCCCCGTCCGAGCTCATCCTGCTGCTGCCGCTGCTGGTGGTCTGGGTGGGACAGGGGACAAGAACTACGGTTAGCTCACCTAAACGCAACATGGATGGTGACTGAAAACAACTTACAACGTCCTTTTATGCTCCAAAATGTTCACAAATTCAGTTTTTTTCCTGACTTTTCAGCTTTCTGCTCACATTGGTTCTGAATATAATCTATTTCTATTACTTCCAGCTGTTTTCTCTTGTCCTTTTAGGCTGTGCTGTCAAATTTACATCCCTGATTATGAATAAGTGTAAAAAAAATTTAATAAAAGCTTTTGAAAATGGAGTGATTCTGCTTTGATTTTTTTTTTAGAACACTAAAAATAGATCATGTGCTGCAGCAAAGACAGCAGATAAAAGCTGGTATTAAAAATACAATGAGAAGAAATACACTTATAGTTCATTCAAATATAAAGTAAACCAGGGCTGCAACTAACGAGCTATCAATTCATCTATTTCTCAGGTTATTGTAAAAAAAAAAAAAGAAAAAAAAAAAGACTTGGCACATTCTACAGACTTTTCATTTTGCAACTTTAAAAAATGTTTTATATATTAGAAATGCAATAAAAGATGCTAATAAACAGACATTTTATTCCTTTTTTAAAAATTTTTTTGCCTAAATTGTTATATCATAGCATTCCTCTAGTGAATTCGAACCAAGTGAAGCTAAAACTATGCTGCTTGAGATTTGAGCAAGGATCCAGCAATAAAATACAACAGCAATTTTTTAAGATATCTTAAAATTTTAAATATGTTTACACATTTCTGTACAATAAATGACCACTGTTGATACATGCGGTATATGGTTAGGCTTGGTCAAATCTGAGAGGAGAGACAGAAAAAAATACATAAATAAACTGATGTGAAAATTTGGGCCGAAATTAATATTGCTGTTATAGCCAATATTTACAAATATACGTATATTCCCCTACAATGTTGACAAAGTGAAAAATTGACCACTTCTTCTCTGTTTCAGTTAAACACGTCACAATCCGGTGCTTAACTACCATCACTGTCACACAAGCAAATAAATATCAGATCAATACTGATATGCTGATGCCGATATATCGTGCATCAATAGCAAAATGTTATACTTTTACTTTAACCCCCTGGAAAAAAAAAAGTCAAACAACATCCTCGTCCTGATCCTGCTTTTTTTTAAGGAAAGGAAAAATCCTGCTGGCACTTCTTAATGCAGAGCTTGTACATGGAGAGAAAAACACATATTGAACCAAACCTATCTTTGCTTTCACTAATTTTATAACGTAATAATGCTGCAAAACCCAATTAACAGTGCAATGTCCAAGAACTGATGGTGAGTCAGCAGAACGGCACACACAGGAGAAGATTTTATTACTCTCTAAAGGAACATGACCGGTCTCTCCTTGAGCTTACTGTAAACACACACCGTCCGTGTAGCCCGTTTGATTTAAAGATTAAACAGCTAGAAAACCTACATATGAAGCAACTCATAACAAACAGCAGCAGCATAAAGGTCAGTCAAAAAAAACAAGACTAATTTGTCCAATCCATTACAGAGATTCTATAGGCTAACCCTCCTGAAACTTCTTTTAGTGTTTGATCACATCTTATACATCATTTATCAAGTCACTCATTCTCAAGTATCGTAAAACTATATGCTGTTTAGATAAAGCCTCTTTCTGATCAAAAGGGGCCTTTCCAAAACTTACACAGGCTGAAAAATCAAGCTAACATTCAGAGCAGTAACATGCTAATAGTTAGCAGTGATATGTTAACTATATTTCCAAGCTACATTGGCCATTAGCAGCAACACACTGTTCTTGCTAATACCAACAGCAGCAACAACATGCTAGCCGATATAGCTAGCATGTCAGCAGCTAGCCTTATTGTCCATTAACAGCTGTGGCTAATGGCTGATGTAGCTAGCTGCTGTTGCTGCTAATGGCCGATAAAGCTAGCAAATGGCTGATATGGTCATGCAGTGCTCTAATCACCTGGAAGTGAAGAGGGAAATAAAACAGAAAACTTGACATTGCCATCTCAAAATGGTAAATTGAAAAGAGAAAGAATAAATTTTAATGATAGAAATTAGTCTAGTAAAATCACTTTAAGGCCTCAGATGGAAACAAACTTCTGGATGATAAATGGTCTCAGAAATTATTGCAGTAAACAATACATACGCTCTTAAAACAACAATATTAGGTAATATTGCAGTAATGGCAAAATAATGCAAGAACACATTCTCAAATATCAATAAACTTCTCATGACGATTTAACACTGAAACGGGAAGACATTTTCAAATATCCAAACTAAATTAAAAAAAAACAACAGAAACAACAAATAAAATTAATTATGAAGTCTCTGTAAATAAAATTGTCCTTCAAAGCCTAAGGCCAGTTGGGATCAAAGCACCAGACTGAAGACTTTTATCGTCCAGTTTTTGGTAGAAACAGAGAGAAAGGAGAAAAACGATAAATCATGCAAGTGGAAATTATCGAGCTCCTTTTAATAATGCGATCGATTGATTTACTGTTTATTGGAATAGGCCTATTCACTGTAACTAGAACCACAAAGAGGAAGTAGTTAGAAAAGTATTTGTCAAACTATTTTAACCCATCGAAAGGCTAAAAAAAGGGAAAAAATTTGTCGAGCTTAAGTTTGGGGTAGCTGTGGGGATGAAGAAAAAGCAAGTTTAGAGTCAGCACTGCAATTCCATTTTTACTGATGCGGTGCAGCCCTATAATCTCAGATATGCACTGCATCAACTGCTTACATAAAAGCAAGCATTACTAAACCATAAGCTAGTAAATAATTTAAAATCAGCATACAAATGCATATTTGAACTGGTTATATCCCATAAAAAAGACTCCAGATCACAGTTAAGAACTTGGAGATCTACATCAGAAAGTTTCGGTTCTTAACAATAAAGAATGAAAAATGATACACAATACAAGGCGCCATTTTTAAAGGTTCATATGGAATACCTTGAGGATATTTGTGCTTAAAAAGTGTTAATTTAAGTTGACAGTAATAAGTAGTTCTATAGTTTCGGCCCGACAGCCACGTGTTGGAGGAAGAGCACCTGAACAGGCACTGTTGAATTATTTAGTGCCACTATACTCTTACAATGCAACCTCACACTGAGAGCAAGCGTCAAATAAAATTAGAAAAACAAAACTTCTACATGAATTGTCTGCAATGTCCATGTGACCATTTCATTACAATACACAGAATTTATTTATTTATTTTAGAAAAAACTGTATTTAAAACAAAAAAAAAAAACTAATTTCTACTAGGACTTGTCCTTATCCCATATGCGTATCGGAAATTGTTCCGATATCAGCCAAAAAACGAGTACTGGATTATATTGGCCTCCACTAAATATCTTAGATGGAAGCACTCCGATCCAGGATTCAGTCTGCTCCAGGATTTAATCTTACCCTGCATTTCTGTCGCTAGCATCCCGCTTGCACACCCACTAGTTAGAGAGGCAGCATTACATGTTTTCCAGGCTCAAAGTATCGATTTATAGCATAATCAACTAATTCTGTTACTTTGAGTTGTTATAAAAAATGCTGTATACATCAAACATGATGTTTAAAAAATTCTACTTCCTAATTTAATGCCTTGAAATTGCACCTCTGTCTCTTTAAGAAATGCCTGCTCTTTCTGGAACTCCGCCTTCAGGAAGTCATCACAGCATCGCTCCTCTATTAACCCCTTAAAAATGTTTTTACCAGCGCTGGACTGAGAAGTAGCTCCTATAATGAGCTCAGCAGATGCTCAGCTCCACCGGGTGTTTGCTAATTGTTGCTGGCTAGTCTGAAGGAGCTGAGAGGCGGAGTCCAGGGACAGAGCTGCTCTGTGAGGTGGAAGCTCTGAGGAGGAGCTGCATCTCAGAGGCGGAGCAAGGTCCACCCAGGCATTTTGCCAGCTGATTGGTTGCCATGGAGATTCAAGAATTTCTCAAACATGCATGAAAGAATCAAGGCAACACTCCAGGTATGTTTTTGATTAGGGAATAACACTACAACATGATGAAAAGCTCAAAAAAGTTGATTTTACATACTACTGCCCTATAATGGCTCAGTTGTTCTCATACATATTGTGGTTTGAGTAATATCACTAGACCCAACATTTTCTAACACTCCACACTACAAAATAAGTAACAAAGGTTTGTTTGATTTATGCTGATATCGCATCAGTCCGATATCTGTATCATATCGGAAGTGAAAAAGTTGTATCGGGACACCCCTGATATCTACTCTGCTTTCCGATCTGAAGGATGTAAAGATAGCTTACTTTTTTCTTTTTTTTTTTTTAGGAAATTTCTGAGTTGAAGCACTGATGTCATCCCTCCTTGTGACAGGGAAGCCAGCCTGATTCAGAGACGGATGACCGACAGGAAGTCTCCCAGGAATCTTGGATTTTGTGGTTTGTTGTTTTTTTTATTTTTTTTTAAATCTGAACTGATAATTTTTTTTTAAATCTTTTAACCCAAATAAATGCCTATGTCATATACAGACAGAGAGGTGAGTCATAACAAAAGCAACAATGTTGAACCCCGGAGGGGCGTCTGAGCCAAACAAAGAGGCGACAACTGATGCTGGAGAGGAGAGCGGCACGGCTGAAACGGATTAGAAGCCCCCCGATCTGCTGAAAGCAGGAGATGACACAGTGAAAACAGACAACTTCAATATTCAGCCACGCACTCACCCGGGTGTATGTGCTCCTTCTGGTCTGTGACATGTTTACCGGTCGCTGAGTGTCACCCCCACAAAAACTGCCTGTCTTCACTGAAGGAGTGGGATATTAAATTAAGGAGAGCATCGGCTAGACGGGAGGTGGTGGTAGTAGTGGGGAGAGAGAGAGGAGGGGGATTCAGATTCAGATTCAGAGATGCTGCTGGAGCATCTCTCCCTCTCTCTCTCTCTTTTCTGTTCTGTCTTCTCGCAAGGATCCCACCTTCTCTCACCGCATCCCAGGAAGCAGGAAGTTTCCGAGCCGATCCAGCCCTCAGATGATTTAAATGGCCGAGCCAAGAAAACGGGAGCAGAAAAAAAAAAGAAAAGAAGAAGATCTCAAAGCAGCCACGCTTGGTTCGGCTGTGAATGCATCAGCTGAGCGGCTTGCACTGCACTGTGTCAGTGTCTGCACTGGCTTCTGCAGGAGGGAGGGCGGCATAGGCCCCGACACCGTCGCTGGGTCCTAAAGCCTGCACGTTTGACGTTTAAAAAAACTAAAAATAAAATGATTTATATTCATAATTTTGTCAGATTACGACCTTAAACCATGTGTGTTTTTTGTTTTGTTCTTGCAAGGAAATAGTTTTTAAAAAATTGCCTGTTTTTTGGGGAATTTGTAAACAAAATCTGAAAAGTGTGGTGTGTATTTATTTTCAGCCCCCTCTAATCTTATTATCCTAAATAAAATCCAGTGTAACTATTTAGGAGTAACCGGATTAGTAAACAGAGTATTTAATCTCAGCAGAATTAAACTACACAATTGCAAAAAACAAACAAAAAAACACTTAAATATTGAGTCATATCCAAAATTGACTTTTTTTTTACACTTTACATTGTGTAATAATGTTATTCCCTAACCAAAAAACACACTGGGAATGTTGCTTTGATTCAGTCAAGTATGTTGAGAAATCCTTGAATCTCCCATGGCAACCATTCAAAGGTGAATAAACACCTCCTAATATAAGAAAATGAAAATAAAAATGACTCTGCTCCTGCAGGCTAGCAGTAGCAGCAATTAACAAACGCTGAGCTCATTTTCTCAGTTAATTCCAGTTAAGGTAAAGAACAGAGTAGAGTGTATTTTTTACTTTTTATATAAATCATAGTTATTTCAATACGTGGCGCACTGAAGAAGCTTATTTCAAATAGGAGCGATTTTTAGAGCAACATTTGTTTGTGGCGCTATGAATTAATTATGTGTCACAGTTACCTAAAAGATAAGTAATATATACGGTAGGGGTTTTTTTTTAATCGTTTTTAGAGTAATCACAATAGTACTAAAAAATAGAGACATTACATTCATGCTAGCATAAAACAGATCAATTAAGCACTTACTACTAGGACATTTAGCAAAGTTATGGCTGTCCAACAAAAGTAAATCCTCAATGCAGGGGAAAAAATGCATCATATCTCTGTTCTCCCTGCATTGCACTCTTAAACAAACCACTGCTAAAATTCTATTTCCTTTCTTTGCTAGCGTAAGCAACAAAAAAAATAAAATAAAAAAATCAATAACTAGCCTGAAAATACAGAGTTTAAAAACTGGCAGCAGACATTTCTGAGCTTGTAAACCAGTTTATCTTGGTCTGATTCTGTTTCAGTGTGCACTGAGCACCCAGGTGATGCTTTGTATCGTTGCTCACTGCAAGCAGATTTCATTCAGACCAAGCCTGGTGATATTGTGGCCCATCACAGAGCCAGGATTAACTCCCTTTTATAAGCAAACCCAAAGGCTGGAGCTTTTTTTTTTTTTAACTCAATTGTGTGCTTTGTTGTCATCTTTTTTTTGCTGTGGAAGCGAATGCTGTAAGCTAACCGCTAAGTGTTAGCCACTGAGAACCATTAGGAAAGGGAAAAAAAAGTGCATACTGACTAAAAAAGGCTTAGTGTTGGATTCTACGTCAACGGGGTATTCAGGGACACCAAGCAAACCCCTGCAGTCTCTTTGCACCCCTTTTATGCAAAATGGCAAAAGGCAGAACCAAAACATAAGGGGTGGGGGAAACGCTCCAGCTCTGCAGGAAGCGGGGAGGAGGACGCGTCCTCATCTCCCACAGTGGGAGACGGTCGGTGGACAGCTTAAGGCAAAGATCTGCCTCCTTACGGGAGATGAGGGCAGAGAAAGAGAAAAAAAAAAGACAGCTCTGCAAAACTCCACGTCTCACCTCCACCAAGCCTGACGAGCAGGAACAGAGGTGACTTTAAGGAGAAACATTATGACCAGTCCGTCTGCTGGCCGGCCGGGAACACATGAGCAGCAACCGTCAAGGTAAAAATGAAGAAAACTAGAATAATGAGCCTTATCTGAATAATAGGACATTTGTATGTGTGAAACAATTTTTATTTTACAGAAAAAAAGAAGAAGAAAAAAAAAACAGCAGCAGCAGCTTTAAACAGACTGCTGGCTGATTTCGTCGCTATGACGACGTGTCTGTGCTCAAGACTGATGGCAACGATGGACTTAACTTTGAAAAAGGGATTTGTTTTGCAAAATATCTGAACATCAGTGACAAACGTTCAGCTTGAAATTTTCCACATTTTGTCACATTATAACCACAAACATAAATATATAAATCACTGGAATTTTAATGAAAGACCAACACAGAGTGCATACAATTGCAAAGTAGGAAGAAAATTATACATGATTTTTTTGAACAAATAAAATGAAAAGTTTGGCGTAAAATTTTCTTTCTACTTCACAATTTTTTTTACCACTTTGTGTTGGTCTTTCACAATAAAATGTTTGTGGTTGTAATGTGACAAAATATGGAAATGTTCGAGGGGTGTGAATACTTTTTCAAGCTGATGTAGATGCCAAAATGTGAAAAGTTACAAGAGAGTGTCAGAAGTAAGGAAGTGAGTAAAATATGGATCTACAGCAAATATTGCTATATTGTAATAAGAATTTGACCATTTTCTAGTATAGTGCAATGCTCATCTCATGCACTCTCTTGTAGCCGGTGCGATGCGTTTAGGGTCTCTGTGCTGCTGGATGATGAACCGACTCACCACAGTTTCTGTTTGTGGTGAAGAGAAGCATCCCCACAGGATGACGCTGCCGCCACCATGTTTTGGGGTATCATGTCGGGTTAGTATTTTTTGCATGGAGGACAAAAATATTAGACTGATCTGACCAGTCCAACATATTTACATTCTCTATTGAAACCTGTAAGTGGGACTTACTTCTTCTTCCAAACAAAGATGTTCATTTTGATTTATTTTGAGGATAATTCAACAGTTTTACTGCAGTCATTTTGGACTAGAATTTAAACAGAAAAAAAGTCATTTCTTTAAAAACAGCTAATGTTAGAAATGTATTCTCAAAAAAGGCTGATTTTTATTCTCTCTTTTTACAATTTCATTCATTTTCAATCATTCATTTTGCTTTTTAACTCCTTTTATAGGTAATTTATCAAGGTTATCTCACAAGTATTTTGTCCAAGTGCTTGATTTATTAAATTTGAATTTGTGTTACACGTTGTTTATATTGTATTCATTAGAATACAACTTAAACAAGAAAAGTAGGTCATCTGTTGGTAATACTGCCAGAGTATATACCTTAGTTCTTTCTGATTTGGAGTGCAGCGCCATCTAAAAACCTTTTAGTAGCCGCACAGTCTTTAATTGCTGTAATTAAAGCTGTGACTTAATGCCATCTAGTGTATTTCGGTGAAACCTTACATCAAACTGGTGATTTTTGAGTGGCTCCATACAAGTGAGGAGTTAAACAGCAAAATGTAAATAAATAATGTTAAGTAGATTCAATAGTCGATGTTATTTCTGATTAAATCCAACCATGGGTGTGGAAGCATATTGACAACATGTTCAAACTCAATATTAACAGTACTGAACCAGGAAACTTGTTAGATTTGATATCAAATCGAATAAATGAAATTAAAGGGCAATTACGCTGAATTATTCAGATGCCTGTTTTCAGACGCGTTAAATTCAAAAACCTATTGAGTCGTTACGTGTGTTTACCTTTTTAACTAGCAACTACAATTAAAATATTTGCACATTTACATATTAAAATGGACATAAAACCGCGTAGCTTTATCAGCGTTCATCGCTGCTGTCAGCTGTCAGTGAGGCACTCCCTGAGCAGCTGCTAGCAGCTGAAGCTGTTAGCATGCACCGGCTGACTCGCTGAAATAAAACCTGTTTAACTTCACTTGTAACGTTATTTTATTATCATGTATAAATTATTGTTTTGTTTAGATATTTTACACCGACGCGTCAACACTCAGAGTGACAGCTGCTCGCTGAGTCTTACCCACTTGTGTCAAAAATCCGGCTTCGCTTCAGCTCCGCGTCCCTGAAGAGCTACATCCATCCGTGGTTGTCTGACCGGACGGATCCGTCCTGCGGCGTCCGAGTTGATGTCTGACTCGGCCGGCCTCAGAGGAGCAGAGGAGCCCGGTGACATGTTCAACACCAAAACTCGGTGTTGGCCATTTAAGCAAAAAATATAAACACAGACAATATTTTATGTAATATTTTGACATATTGTCACCTTCCTAATTTTTAATTTTATTTTTTTTGGCTAAAGGTAATTTTGAAAAACAAAGAAAAATAAATAAATCACTTCGAAAATGACTTATTTTAAGGGGATTATATGGTACTTACTTTCAATATTTCAAGTTGCCTTATTATTCTCTCTGCTACTTTTATCCCACTTAAATCTTTCAGATTATCAGAGATTTTAATACTAGACAAAAAATAAATAAATAAAAGTGAACAAAAAGTCATTTTTCACATTAAATATTTTCTCATGGAACAAAAGCTATCCAAAGCAACCTGGTCACCTGGAGACTAAACCTGTGTTTAGTTATTAAACTAGTTTTAGTTACTAGGTTTAATTGGTTTTTTTCTATATCTGGCAGTAATTCCTAAGTTGCGGTGAAGGAATTGTATTTTCGTCTCTATGCAGAATTATTTTAATTTAGCCACATGAAAATTTTTCAAGCACAAACAGACCGTTATTACACCACATCTCAATCTAATTCAAATCTGAACTTTGACTAGGCCATTTCAAACCAATTATTTTGCTTTTATGAGCAAATGAACAGTACGTCCCCTAAATGAGTTTGAGTTTATGGCCATGAAGATGGCCAGTCAGTTTCTTGGTTTCATCAGTGACAGCATGACTTCCAGGTCAGCCCCAGGCCATAACAATACCACCGTTGATATGACGTCCTTTCTCTGAAATAAAACGCCCAGTCGGTCTTGGCAGATGGCTGTTCACACTGAGCCAGGTTCTGGTTCTGCTGCATTTTTCTTCTCGTTTCCTTAGATAATTTTTTTTAACAATAAACTTAACTTGACTGTATTGCTTGACAACTAGGATCAATTTGAATGTTTGTAACTGACTCAGAATCTATCGGTATTACTGGACTAAATTAACTTCTTGGTTTTGACATTTGCTATCACTATCAGTAATTTGAATTAAATTGAATATTTCTGGTTAACTATTGTAAAGTCCTCTCATACCTTCACCTTCTGAAAGGTGAAGTCAAATTTATCAAAAATAAAACACTGTGACAAAGCTTCTTCTGCAAATCTGTACCATTCATTTTACTGAAAATGGCTTTTTGTCATGGTGTGTGGTTGTTGGTGGTGGTGAGAGAGACGCCGGGAATCCCAGGTAGTCATGATAAGAGATAATTTAATGATGAACCAGGAGGGACAACAGAAAATCACTGGCAGCACAGGAACAGACACAGACGTGAGACACGACGACGATCCGACAAAGAACACTGACAACAGGTGGGACTAAATACACTGGGATGGGAATCACAGGAACGACACACAGCTGGGATCAATCGAGACAGACTCAGGGGAAAACAGGACTAGACAGACAGAAACTACACAGATCCTAACACTTTTAATCATCGCTCAAACATTAATCAAACCATAATCCTGATTATTCTTATTTTAACATGGATTTAGGCATCCAACTCAATCTACATTTGTCCTTTTTCATCCTTAACTACTTCATTAATAGGTAATATCAAGATTAGAAGTAGCAAAATCGGAACTAGGTTTGCTGATGTGTAAAATACACCTGCTCAAGAGAAGAAAACAAACCCCTTACATTTACATAAAGAACAAAGTACATAAGAAGTTTTTATATCTGGGCACAACAGAGATTTAATGAAAGATTAACGAGAGCACAGCTTGGATTACCTAAAAATGTCTGAAACGGTTGTAAAGAAACTAAGCAGTTAGGAAATAAATAATAAAATAATTATAAGAGTCAGTCAGCATACACCCATTAACTTCCTCTTAGATATTATCATACAATGGCATAGGTGTCCCGATAAAGCTTTTTCACTTATGATATCGATATTGATTTGAGAACTGGCCGATACCGATATTGACCAGATATGATATCAGAACGTATCAGCCATACTTTTATTACTTATTTTGTCGTGTGGAATGGTAGAAAATGCTTGATCAAGTGATAGTATTCAAAAGAACAATAGTCAACAAATGACCAGTTTATTATTACCCAATAGTCTGCTGCGGGGTGGAAGCGCTGCTGAACAGAAATCCTGGGCCAGATTAAATCCTGGAGCGCAGAGCTTCTATCAGCAGATATAATACGATACTTTTTTGGCTGATCTCGGACCAATACCAAAATCAGATCGAAACACAGTTTAAACAATAGTATACTTAAAATGTTCTAATAAAGACCAATAGTGATTTACTGATCCCTGTAGTGTGTTTGTTTTACAGTAGTGGTATGCAAACAGTTTGCTTTGCATGTGACGTCCCTTGATAGCTGGAGAATAACTGAACGGTACCATCAACCCAAAAATGTTGCTGTTTCAGTCCCTTTCTTTATCTGTCTGTAAATCAAGTCTGTACTCAAACAGCGTGAAGTTCAGGATTTTAGCCGTAAGTTCTGGAATGACAAACTCTCTTATCTTCGTGTAACCCATGTGTTCGTACAGTTTCTGAGCATCAGTCTGCACAATGGACGTGTAAAGGATGACGGCGGGGAAACCTCTCTCTCGAGTGAAATCCGCCACCGTCTGACACAGAGCCTTGGCAATGCCCATCCCCCGGTGACTGCGGCGCACCGACATGCGCTTCAGCTCCAAGAACCCGGGTGCTGTCTCAGCAGGGAGACACCCCACAGTCCCGACCACCCGACCGTCGCTTTCGGCCACCCAGAAGCACGAATTATTCTTCCGCAGGTAGGTCCTGCCGATGTTGTCGAGGTCCTTCCTGAGGGTAGTCTCTATGTATTTGTTGAACATGTAGACGACCATCTGTCGGACCGCGGCCAGGACGAGCGTGATGGCCAGTACGGGCAGCAGGAAGGACTTGGAGCTGGTAATGAGGGCACAGAACGTGATCATGAGGAACATCTGGGTCAGCGGCTGTTTCAGGACGTGGGTGAAGGACGAAGGCACGTGTTCGCTCATCCCCAAGGTGAAGAGCTCCTTGACGACCTCAGCGTCCTCATCCTCGTACTTTCTAATTTGAATGTTGGCCATGGCTCTGCTGGTCAGTGAAATTAATGAAATGGGGAAAGAAAGGTGAAAATGTGAAGAGATTGTGAATAACCTTTATGCTGCAAACTATTTGATTAAAAACACAAACATTTTCTCAAGATAATGTCTACGCCTTCTTTTAAAGTTGAGTTCAGATCTCTGGGTCATACTGCAATGTATCTAATTAAGCTGCATTTCCATTAACCATAAAGCTGTATAAATTGAAATTACAAAATAATAATAATAATAATAATAATAATAATAATAATAATAATAACAACAACTTAATGGAAAAATTTATATTTTTATACAAGTTTTTTGAATATATCGAAATGGACGCATTTCGCAAAACTGCCATGAAAACACTTATTTCGTGACACAGGAGTCAGGCAATCAACAGCCGGATGTTTCTCCTGGCAAAAACAACAAAAAAGACAACAGAAAGTAGCAGTAGGAGGTTGATTGTTCGTTTGTTGTTTTTGTGCAGAGCCTTCACATCATCCCATATTCCTAAAAAGTTGTGTGTCATTCGAACTTGTTGAATCCATCCATCTGTATCGTCGACCACAATTTCCCCAAAACGCAGCGGAGTAGCTGTTCCCAAGTAGGCGGGGCTTGGCGTTCAATGCCTGAATAAAATGCTGACGTCTCCTCTGATGGAAGTATAAATATATTTCATGTAGCATCCGTCTGACATGACTTTTAATGAGTTATTTCATGAACAAGCTTGTTCATGTGTGATTCTAATTTGCAAAATTGTGAGTGTTTTTTTTTTTTCTTTTTTGAGAAGAGCAGAATATAGAAATTTGCGAACAATTGTAATGGAAACAGCTTACGGGGGAGATGTCGTTTGAAAAACTAATATAAAATAGAGCATAACTGAACTGGAAGGAAAATTACAAAGTTTTCAAACCTTTTAACAAATAAAACAATTTGGCATTTGTATTTAGTCCCCCTTGAACACTTTATTCCAAGTTTGTCCTTTTGGCAAACCTCAAATGAGACTAAACTGAAAGCTTCAGTCTGCCTGTCA